GCAGCCTGTTTCGTAATGCTCGTTTATACTCGCACCCGGCTCCGCACCGCAAGTCTCCATGAGCGCATCTGGCAGTATGGATGAGGCTTGACGCACGCGCGCAACCTGTGTCGACTCGCACCTGGCTCCGCGTTTAAAACGAATGTAAATTCAGTCTAACTGCTTGCTAATTTCACTTGGATGAAATGAAACATTCAGCACATTTTCCACTTGCTCTTAAAATCCCAAATACTTAAAATGAATAAATCAATTTAATACTTTAATAATTGACTTAAGAAATACAGTTCTCTATTTATAAAAAAATAAAAATATATTTTCTGGGAAATTCAGTAATTATGAATAAATAAAATGTACCAATAAACAAATTAACAAACAAAATCAATATGAAGGAATCACTGAAAAAAAAACAAAAAAAAACAATGGACCAGCAAATGAACAAAATACTTAACTAACCAACAATAAATCAATCAAAAAACCAAACAACAATCAAACTATCAAAAAACCCCACAAAGAAACACTAAAAATCACTAATGATAGAATGACTGAATGAACAACCAAACCAATGAATGAATGAATACAAGAAACAAACAAACAAACAAATGAGGGCTCAAAGGAATGACAAAAAAAAAAAAACACTAAACACTACAATGGAGACTACAATGGATAAAGCCAATTTCATTTGTCGTGGGTATGTATATATCTTTCGCTGCAGAACCTTTGAGACATCTAATGCAATGCCTTCAGAAACTATAGTTTAACACTAACACAGCAGGACTGTGTTCAGATGTGAGAAACTCCAGAGGGCACAGAGTGAATAAAACGAAAGGAGTAGCAAAATTCAGAGGTGATTCACACTTGCCTGCAGCTCAGTCATCGCGGCCTCATCTAAGTCAACAGATTTGTCCAGAACATTTCCTTCTTTCACTCAGTCTCCACCTGTTACTTAGCGCTCGATCAGGGCGGATGATTCACTGCCCGTCAGCGCTCCATCTTTCCTCTTGTTTCCAAACAAAGTCCAACGAACAAACGCTGTGTTGCCAAGTTGCTGACTGACATTGCCAGGAGGAGAAGACGGTTTTCCCAGACAAACTGGGAAAGTGTTAAGATATCTGTATGAGGAATAAGGTGTCAGAATGATCAACGAGCCTGTGGTCAAATACAGGCCAAATGAACTTTCTGCCACCCTAACAAAAGACTTGGGATTTGAGAACATTTACTGAACATGACTATTTCTTACTGGCCAAGAAAGTGTATTCTGCACTATGAAAATATTAAGATACTGAGAATTATTTATGAACAGAAATTCACTCTGCTCATGTTTCATGAATGAGGCCTAATAATAATTTAGCTGGCCATTCATATTGCTTTAATTTGATTCGCTTACATCACCTACGTCAGATGAGAAGATGTTTTGAGGCCAAAATATAAACGCACATACACACAGCTCTCAGAGGAGGGCTGAGTTGAAAACGCATCTCCTGTACAGTAAGTCACACAACTCTTAGTGACCCCAGACATGTGAGACAGCAGGAGACATCCTCACACAGACACATTTAGTTCTTCAGTGTAATCGGTGCTGACTAATGCAGCTTAAGTGTAGACCAGATTTTCCATTCTCCACTCAAACATACAATAACACACATTCATCTCTTATACCTGTTCTTATAACACACCCTCAGTTTCCTACAGATACACACGCAAACATGTCTGAAATGAAAAGAAAAAGTAAACATACCGCAAGTCACGTCATAATACACACTTTATGCTTAGCAGAGCTAGAACGCAGCTAACTGAATTTCTCTTCTAAACTGTTCTCTTCCTCATACATAGTGTTGGAGAGATTCATTCCAGTGAACTGTTTCAAAAGTCAGAGTCATTGTAGTGAACTGATTTAGAATAACAGATTCATCCTATTGAACTGATTTAAAATAGCAGATTTACTGTAGTGAATAAATTCAAATAGATTCATTCTATTGAACTATTTAAATTAGATTTATTTAAATGAACAAATTCAAATAGTCAGATTCATTCTAGTTAACTGATTCAAAAGTCAGTCATTCTAGTGAACTATTTAAATGACAGATTTACTTTAAGTGAAAAAATTCAAAGTCAGATTCATTCTAGTGAACCATTTAAATGACAGATTTATTTTAAGTGAACAAATTCGAACAGACAGATTCATTTTAGTGAACGGATTTAAAAGTCAGATTCATTCTAGTGAACTACTTAAATAACAAATTTATTTTAATGTGAACAAATTCAAATTGTCAGATTCACTCAAAACTTAGTTCAATGAGAGATTTATTTTAGCGAACCATTTCCTAAAAATGGTTAGATTCATTCTAATTAATCAATTCAAAAAGTCCGATTCATTCTACTGAACTGATTTAAAACTGCCGATTTATTCCAGTTCAACTAGTCAGATTCATTCTATAGAACCGATTCAAAAAGTTTGAATCATTCCACTGAACTGATTTAAAATGGTAGAGTTATTGTAGTGAAATGATTCAAAGTCATATTCATTCTACTGAACATTAAAAAAATTATTCACCAACGTGATTCCCTTTGAGACTTTTCAGGCCTTGTTTTTAATTATTATTATTATATATTTATTTAAAAAAAAAATTTTTTTTTGTGAAATGTTTAGTTAAATGCTGATGTTCATTATTGTGTTCACTTCAAGTTACATAAATTAGGGTTTTCCAGTTTTATTAACGTAAAAGTATCTGATTAAGTTAAATAATGTCATGAGATTGAGATTGGATTTTCATTCAAAAACTCTCAATGTCTAAAATCCCCTTGGCTAGATTAAATTAGCATTATTGTCATAAGATACATAAATATATTAAATAAAAAAAAATAATAATAATATGGTTAGTGTGTGGTGTAACTACATTTTCAAAAGAGTAGCTAGACTGTAATTTAACTATTTTCATTGAGTAGTTCGGAGAGCTACTGTTTTAAAATAACATCTCCACTCTGATATCCAGCCCATGCCTTAAAGTTTACAGTTTATACTGCAATTTATTCAGTCAAAACAGGAAGGAACCAACTGTATTCAAAGCCTGAGGTATGTGAGTGTATACCAGTAAAGAAGCCTTGTAAACACAAGCATGCATTATGTTAAATGTGAATGAACAGACGAGAAAGGACAAGCCATCCCACTGTTTCTCTCTCTTGATCATGCACCCTTCCTGTATGTCCTCTGGCTGTGTATTTGTGTGTGGATGCAGCGCACTCATAACTTAATTACTGTATTTATCTTATTAGACTGCAGCTATTTAATGTTAGTGCTTTGGCATGCGCTTCCTGCACATCCATTCCGCTGCCTCATTAAGATCAGGCCCTATGAGACCTAAACGCTAAAACTCACACTCACATTAACACATAACATGCTGCTAATGCATTCTGACACAGCATTTATCAATACAACGAAAGAAAAATGACCATAAACACTCTAAAAATTGTCAACTGTGAATACTTTTATGCATTAAATTTATCAAAAGTGACAGTAAAGACTTCTATAATGTAACAAAATATTTCTATTTCAAATAAACAACCGTTTTCAACACTGATAATAATAAATGTTTAATGAGCAGCAAATCAGCAAATCTGAATGGAGTAGTAACTGCTGACACTTTGCTATTACAGGAATAAATTACATATTAAAAAATAATAAAGTATAGAAAACAATTGTTTCACTGGTAATTTCAACATCATACTGTTCAAATGCACCCATCTTGGAAATACGATCATTCATGTGTGAAGGCAGCATAAGAAATGCTAAATTTATGTAATCAGCCAATCAAAATGGAGCTTGCCATTTCGCGAATATGAACGACCCGGGGGTGTGCCGTCTTAGGTTGACACCAGATGATTTTCCCCAAGTGTAAGTGGATGCACCAGAGACAAACGTGTCTTTTAACAGGATCTCTGACTCTGAGCAAAAGGGCACAGCGGCCACTATCAAAGGAGGAGCCCAGCTGAGCCCAACCCAGCACATGGATAAATAAAGGCAATAATTAGACTGTCATAAGAGACCCTGCCACTAGCTTCAGCTGTTCAGAGATGCTTCTAACAGACTGTCAGTTAACCAGGCACAGCACTTAGAGGGGGAGTGGTTACAGGACAAGAGAAAGACAGATGTGGCATGCCAAATTACTACTAACAATTATGAAGTCACACTGGAAAATACTGTATAGATTTTTTCCAACAAATTATAATCTTCAAAATTTAATTCACGCAGTTTGTAAATTCCCCAATTAAACAAATGAACTGACAAATATGATGTAATATTTAAAACAATTCTGATTATGTAAATACATTACAATATTTTAAAATGCCATTTATTCCTGTGATGGTAAAGCTTAATTATTTTTCAACCCAGGCTCACTGGAAATATGCCTCTAAATACAGTACATTTCTGAAACAATGTTATTACGTACCTTACCGCATGTTTCAAGGCAGTTTCAAAGTGAAACCTCCAGTGAGTGGTGCTAAAACGCGGGTTCAATACGTGACCCTGGCATATTTTTGTTACGTTGATATAGGCATGTATTGCTGTGTTTTTATTACATTGCTTCAGGTACGTATTGCGGAGGTTCATGATTCAAATATCCGGGGAGTGTCACTAAAAGTACACAAGCAACACTAACGGGGTAAAGCATAAGAATATAGGATTTTAGAGAGGACCAACAGCTATAGAATAGTTTTTATTACATTGCTTCAGGTACGTATTGCGGAGGTTCATGATTCAAATATCCGGGGAGTGTCACTAAACGTTAATGCTCTATCGTGTTGCAAATATCCCCAACAACAAAACCAACCCTAAACTTACCCGATAGTGTTAACAAATGCAAAACTGGTATAAAAACGGATTTGTTGATGCATCCATGCCATTTGAACTTCCTTATATGCAGGTTTGAACTGTTTTGTGGAACCTACTGAATATAAAAACCCATACATATGAAGATGGATATGTGACGCTAACGTTCAAACGTATCAGTTTTCAAATGTTGCAGCATGTTAAAATTGTTTTGAATGCATAACATGATATTCCTCATATAATTGTGTGAAAATTAGGCTTTATTAATCGAAACTGTGGACCTGCAAATCATACTTTGTGTGAAAAGGAATAAAAGTTGTCAGAGTTTTACTGCTTCTAGTGTTTATTTCAACTGGAAACTGCAGTGATTCGTATGTACGGTATAGGTACTTTTTTTTTTTTTTCTTTCAGTTTTGCAGAAATGTATTTAGAGGCACGTATTTCCAATGAGCCTATGTTGATTTTTTTTAGCATCATTACTCCAGTCTTCAGTGTCACGTGATATTTCAGAAATCATTCTAATATGCTGATTTGCTGCTCAAGAAACATTTCTTATTATTACAGTGTTAAAGACAGTTGTGCTGCTACACTTTTAGGATTCTTTGATGAATAAAGTTAAAAAGGACTGCATTTATTTGTATAAAACTTGTTTAACAAAAGTCTTTACTGTAGTTTTTGATCAATTTACAGCATCCTTGAACATCAAACACTTCAGAATTTAAAAAATACAAAGCAAATTATTCAATTCTTCTAACACGAAGATGAAAAAAAAAAATATATATATATATAAATTGAAAGACTGATATTAGACTTTGTCTTCATACAATTGCACTTCACATTACCTTTGAGGTTTAAGATAACATGTTGATACACCTTAAGTGTATATAGTGAACAAATGATTTTCACTTTCACTTTTTTAACAGTGCATTCTGGGAACGTCTAGGCAGTAAAAGTTTCAGCGCTCTGGAAATGGCAGAGACATGCCCTATGTTTTTATTAAAACGTGACGCTAAATATTATCCTAACAATCTACGACAATTGTAGCATTGTTAAAGTGATTTAGTACACTGATAGTTTATCAAAATTGAGTGTAGAATTGCCTAACAGTGAAGTCAAGAGCCGCTGATTGTTCCACAGTGTTAAATTCATCACGCAGCAGTAAACTCTACAGGGGGTGAAAGCCCGCGGAGAAGCCAAACTGTGCTGATCATTACCAAGAAATACATCACGGCTCTCTCTCTCCCTGAGCCAAACATTCATTTCCTCCATGTCTAATTAAATTACCT